GTAGCCAATAGCTCTCTGGGCTGAAACCTAATATCCTGGTTTTGGCAACTCGGTGTTTAATTTGCTCCTCTTTCTTTTCCGCCGGCGGGAGGGAGACCTCCGGGCCCCCTCCCGCGCCGGTCCCCTCCCCGGAGGGAAGAGGCAGAGGAAGGAGGTGGTGTGGGTTTTTTTTTCCCTCTCTCTCTCTTCTCTCTCTCTCCTTGAAATTTTTATCACAAAATTATAATACACTCAAAGGGAAACTCACCGTCATGAAAAAGCAGTGCCTTGTCAACGGGGTTTCTGCGCCATCGCACCAGTTTCCAATCCCCGGGCTCCACTGTGGATGTGGCACTGACCAGCTAGGATGAAACTCGGGAGTGTCAGAGCACATACAGAAGAAAGCTGGGGCCCTGAAGAAACCTGGGAGTGAGGCTTTCTACCATTCCAGCCCCATCCCTACTTTCAGACTCTTGTGAGGGAGAATGAGCTTTTTGTGTTGAGCTGTTGTACTTGGGGCTCTTTGTATTTTGGTAGCTTAGCTAGTATTCAGATAAAAACATTTGCCTGAGAAAAGGGTTCTTTTTTAATTAAAAAAATTTTTTTTTAAATCGAGCTCCAAAGATGTTAATTTCTGTTTCCTTTGGGATTTTTTTTTTTTTTTGGCTAACTTCAGAAATGTACTGGTTTACTTAAGAAACAGGTTTATTTGGCTCTTTAAAAAAAAATTAAAATCTACACGATAACGTGCTAGTCTCTGCAGGCGCCCTGCACACACACACACGTTCACTCGTTTTAGCTGGGGGTGGGGTGGGAGGGGGGTAAACATAAAAAAAAATATTTGTTTAGAACTCCAATTAGAACAAGCCCAATAAATACTTTTTTGCATATGCTTTTTTTAAAAAAAATACCACACAACTAAAACGTCACTCTTAACAGTTATTTGGCAAATAACCCATTTATCCTAACTTTTAAATGTACGAAGCTTTCCTTTGCAACATCCTCTTTCCATTCCGAAATGTTGTCAGACCTCGTGTGTGAAGCCTGTATGTCAACATTAACCAGGAAAAAGAAAACAAAAAAAAAAACTTTAGTGGCCAAGATGAAGGTATAGGACTAAGTCGCCCTCAAAACAGCCAATTCCCTTCTCTTTATATGTAGATATCCTTTATCACCACATTTGTGGAACTTTCCTTACGTAACCCCCCAACCTTTAAAAAGCTACCCAACCTTTTGAGTGTAATTAACACCCATTTTAAATGGCGAATCTCATTGTTGAGAGTCTCCATAAACCACCTAGCACACTGAGAGGGTTTAAGTAAATGTTAACTGGGATAGTGTGGATTGGGGGAGCATGCCTTTGTGGCCTAGATTAACTGCATTTATTTTTCCTGCAAATTCCCACGAAAATACAGTGGGCGTTTTGTTGTTGTCTTTTAGTTTAAATAAACATCAAGGATAAAGGATGAATTGCATAAGCATGTGATTAAGATTTTTAAAAATACATACATAAGCCCCAAAAATGTTTCAAAATTATTTTAAATTACTTTGTAATACCTACAGCCATGAGGTCCTGCCATAAACAGAATGTTCAAAGCCATGTTCCCCAAATATTTAGTGAGTTCTAAATAAAATTATCCCTAGATCTAAATTATTTACATGAAATTATTGTTTGGTTTCTGTATTCCGTTAGTATCAAAAGGTAATGGTATCGCACCTTGCTTGCTTACATAAGGGGACTATAACTATACTATTTTGTACAAAATAAATGTCAAGGTTAGCATACAATGTTGTCATATTCAAGACAGAAAATCTTAACAGAAAAACAAACCATATCTTGTTCTAGTAACCGCCACTCTGTCCTTTTCAATGTATGTTCTATATTTAAACTTTCCTTAAAAATACATTCAGTGATTTTGTATCACATAGTATCACTGAGGTGTTTTCTCAGTGTTTCACAGCCAGCCAAGGCCTTCCTGGAACAGTAGTCCTTGCATAAATTATCATATTTCTCTACACTTGACAGTTGGACCAACCAGTTTTCTAATTGGCTTGGGAAATTTTTAAACATATTTTAAAGTGCCTTTGGATTGGTTGGAGTTTAATTGTAATACCCATTTTGAAGGATTACATTTCAAAAGAGTCCATTATTCATTGCAATTAGGACCCACCAAGCAAGTTTTACAGCTGTTGCTCCATAGCTCCAATGAAATATTAATGGATTTCAGAAAGCTATTCTCCTAAGTCAGCCAAAACCCCAAAGAAACACAAATCTGACTTTGAAAGATCACCAAACAAAACTGAATTCATAGACCCACAGAGTGTGGATAGTGCAGGCTTTTTGAAGAATGACATTTTCTGAGAGCCTACTGCCTCCTATATACTTACACACATTATTGACTGAATCTCCATGAAAGCCTATACTAGTAGAATAAGGCTTAGTTATCCTGATTTTGCAGATGAGGCTCCTGATGATTTTAGTAATTTGCCTGGAGTCATCAGTCTAGTTCGGGCTGGTGGGGAAAACCCAGGTCAGGTTGATTCTAAAACTCACCCTTCTCTTCAGGCCCTGAAAGGGACGTGGACACAAGCAGTCCTTGCTGTTTGACTATAAACAGGGCTCAGTGCTGTGGCCTAGGCAGAGGGACAGCCCTCCACTTGGTGAAGGCCGACTTTGAGAATGCCAGTTGTCAAATCTAATTTTAAATTTGGGGGGGTGTGTGTGCAAAATACTGGGACAGCAATGGGGAGAATTTCAGGTTCACCAGGCACCACCAAAATTGAAATCATTTAATATTAAAAAGAATAAACAACCTTTTCATTTTCCCCATGTGATTGAAAAACATTTTAAACGAAGAATATGCCTGTGTATGTAAAATATAAGCTATGGTCTATATAGACAGGATTTGGGTGTCTAAATGTAAGATTAGGAAACTTTTTAAGAGGAACGTTCTTTTTTGTTGTTGTTGTTAATCCTCACCCAAGTTTATTTTTCAGTTGCTTTTTAGAGAAAGTGAAAGGGAGGGAGAGAGACACATGTGAGAGAGACACATTGACTGGTTGCCTCTGGCACATGCCCGGGGACAAGGCCAGGGGATCAGGGATGGAGCCTGCAACCAAGGTACATGCCCTTGACTGGAATCGAACCCAGGACCTGTCAGTCCACGGGCCAGTGCTCCAACCACTGAGCCATACTGGCTAGGGCAAGAGGAACGTTCTTAAAATGGCTTACCTATATGCAAATAACTTTAATTGTATTGACTACAATTTAATTATGTACAATTAAATGGTCACTCCTATGGTTCTTACCTGCGTAGGCGACCTAGAAAGAAGGGCAACTGGACACAGAAAGAAAGAAAGAAAAAAGAGGGTGTAATTATAGTTGCAATGTTCTAGCAGGCGTCTGGGCCTCCACAGAAGCAGGTCCAATGTCCACGTAACAATTAAAAGTGAAAAGGCTCCTGTTTTTTATGTTCTCCCTCCACATGTCTCCCTGGTTGGCTGGCTATTCTCAGAGGGGGGCACATGCAAATGCCAACGCTGAGGTGGCCACACACAGGACCAGGTGTGCCCCGACCACAGAGATACCGAAATACACCGGTGAGCTAGCAAGTGCTCCATGCCATGTTTGTGAAATAAAAATGTAAGAATTCTCCATGGGCAGAAATAAGGTACCTGCCTTCACCTGAGCCTCAAGAGGAACTTACGTGCTGGGTTTATAGTGCCCTGGCTCTGTGCTCGGACTGCCCTGGGTTCAAATTCCACCTTTGTCACTCACCAGGTATGTGGCTACAGGCGTCACCTCGCCCCTCAGCACTTCAACTTCCTCATCTATAAAAAGGGGATAATTATAGTGCCCATGTCTGCAAGGTATTTTAAGGGTTTAGGAGCTAGTGCTTGTGAAATGTTTATCACGGCGTCTCGGTTTAGTTGTGTGTCAGGCTGAATCATGTGAAATCTTCCCTTGTAGATTCCCAGTGGCAATCTCAGGTGATTCAACCCTAGAGGTCTCTCTCATGTCCCCTCCTGGACAGGACGCTCCTCAGAGGCTTGCCAATCTCTAAGGGCCTCACAGAGTTCTTTGTAGGTAATGAGCTTACCGCCAGTACTCGTATGATAGACGAGAAACAGCCCTGTCCACAGGGTGTATAAGAATACAAGAAATGAATGTGTCTCTACCTAGAGACCTATAGAGGGGGGTGGGCAAAAGAAGATGTACAGTTATGAGTATGCAAAATACAGAGTTTATTCTCGTATTATTTATTAATTATTGTGTTATTTTCCATACAAACAATTGTAAACCGACTTTTGCCCACCCTGTATTAAGGGAGTACAGTAAGTCTCCTCGAACCGCATAAAACCATTATCCAGTTGATCACAGGCAGCACAGCCTTATGGTTTAGAGTGGTCCCCAGCCCCCATCAGTTAGAGCTTCATCATTGCCACTTTCTAGCTTTGTGATCCTGGCCTCCTTTTTTCACTTCATTTACCTCAGTTTCCTCATCGTAACGTGAAAGTAACAATACCTGTATCTCAGGTGGCAGGGGGACAGTTAAATGACATTAGATAGACAAAACCCTGGCTTTGGCCCTAACCGGTTTGGCTCAGTGGATAGAGCGTCGGCCTGCGGACTGAAGGGTCCCAGGTTCGATTCCGGTCAGGGGCATGTACCTTGGTTGCGGGCACATCCCCAGTGGGGGTCATGTAGGAGGCAGCTGATCGATGTTTCTCTCTCATCAATGTTTCTAACTCTCTATCCCTCTCCCTTCCTCTCTGTAAAAAATCAATAAAATATATTTTAAAAAAACACACAAAACCCTGGCTTTGGTGCCTGGCATAGAGTAAATTACTCACTAACAGTTGGCATTATTGTTGTGGTTAACGCTGGTATTAAGAAGCAACGTCGAAATGTTTTCAAAGCAGTGGTAAACAGTTCACTTGCAGTGGTCACAAATGTTTCAATACTTCGCCCACGTTAGCATTTTATCTGATACATGAATAAATCATCTTTGTAGAGACTGAGGCTATTCTAGTCATGACACATTTCAAGCTGGTCATTTTCCTTGACAGATTTAAAAATAAAAATCTGAACTCCTACAAGCCTCTAGTAAGGAGTATAAGCAGAACTGTTGTTTAAAAAAGGAGGCATTCAGCACTCCCACTGGCCTTGCTGTGACACATCCAGCCAGTTTCCCTAGAGTGAGGGGGAGGACAGCCATCAGGTTAGGAGGCCCAGCTGAGCTGCTGGAAGGCAGGGCTGGAGGCGGTGCTCACCAGCTCCCAGGCCCTGCGGTGCTCTGCCCGACTCCTAACT